TTAAACTAAATTTAATATTAGAATTTTTTAAAATTTAAACTTTAAAGTTTAATTATTTAAAAACTACTTAATAAAATTAAAAAAATTTGATAATAAAGTTAATAGAATATATATTATAGAATATTTTTTATGAGAATTATAGGCCCCATATTATTAATAATTTTTTGAGTAATTTGACAAATTATAAATTTTTAGTCAAATTCAAGGCAAATTTGCCCAATACAGTTTAAGAAATAATAACTAATATTAAACAAGTAATTAATTTTAAAATTGTATAAATACTTTTTCAATATATATAATAAAACTAATTTAATTTAATACTTGTTAATTATTATAATATTTATTATTAAATAAGCAATTAATTTTAGTAATTAATAAGTACTTTTTTTACAAGCAATTTTCAAAGCTATTCAGTATAATACGGTAGTTTGGTTAGTGCTGTATATACTGTATAGTAATTATTAATAAGAAATATATGTATATATATATAGTCGATTCTCCCAAAACCGATTCTGTCAAAACTGATAACCTGCTATAATTGGTTAAAAATCAAACCACCATGTCTGATCCATTATTAATATCTGATAACCTGCAATTTTTGATAACCGATAGCTATTATATTCAAGTTTTTGATTTATTGGCTAGTATCATGTGAAAATTATCTAATCAAATCACATAAAATCTACTAAGTTCCATGTGATTAACTTATATACATACGTATATATATACTAGATCTGTTCTTTGCATATTAAATTCGTATATGTATTTTAAATCCTTTGCTTTCTATAAACTTAGTCATCATTATAAATCTATTGAAAGCTTTAAGATCTATAAACTATACTGGGTCCAGGTGCTGTATTTTATATGGCTATTTAAAATTTTGCATTAAAGTGATCTTGAAATGAGATGTCGAAACTAAACTTAAATTATTAACTTGTCATATTCTACTAAATGAATACTAAGCAAGATACAATCAACATTTTATATCTACTAATAACTGATAAGTTATTGACTATTTATTTATTATTTATTCATGATATTTTTGTTTACTATAGTATTACCATGAAGTTATACAATATTATAATTTTTTTTTTGTTAATTCTGAAGAAAGCTTACCTGTTTATAATTAAGCTTATTTATCATTTAGGACTTTGAAAAAATTGATCCAGTATAGATTGAATCTGTTTTTCAGCCTCTTCTTTTTGAACTTTCTCATGAATATATGATTGAAGCTTGTGTAAAAACTTTATTATAACCCTACTATCATTAATTCTCTCATCGATGATTTGTAGAGCATTGTGCAGAATATCTAACTGTTCTTTTCCAGTTAAGGGTTATGCAATAACTTTATTTTCTACATGGTCTATTTCTGTAGCAGCTTCAACAAAATCATCATCATTAAATTGTTGATGTATCTCTGTTCTTTTCTTCTCAAAGTCTAACAAATCTTTAATTGGTATTAGATTATGAATATGCAATGCATTTAGTGTTTGCTGAAGCTTCTCAGTAGCTAGTTCATCATCCGGATTAACAAATATGCTTTTTTTCACATCTTCAATAAGAGAAGGTAGGGAAGATAAAACAACTGTACCATCTTTATTATATGGAGATATAATTTTTATATAGAACTAGCAATTGTTAATTGTACTAGCAGATACTTTATCCCATGCAACCTTTATTAGTATTAACCAATAAAGATATTTAGGCAAATTAAAAAAATATAACATGCTATATCATCATGAAATAATGCCCGGATATTATTTCGAGACTCATTGCTTAAAGAAAATTAATAATTAATTTAACAGAATGCAAATTATAATTTTTTGTATTAAAAATTTTAGCTAAATTAATTATTAGCCTTTTTCAAGCAATGTGTCTCTAAATAATACCCTGGGGTATTATTTTACGATGATACGGTAGAATTTAAAAATATAAACATCTCCAATACTAACTTTTACCCATCTTATAGCCTGTAATTGATCGACTTTATAGATATCACTTTCTCTGGCTTCATCACAATTAATTGCATGTTGAAGTTGTATACAACGATAATGAAGCTTAAATGATACAATAATACTAGCATCTATCACCTAGATCTTTGATATTACATATGGGGGTAATTTAAGCCCCTCTATATTAGTTAGAGTAATAGTACCAGTAACATGTGAAGAGGCACCATCTAGGATAAATAAAATACGTCAGTTTGAATTTCTTATTTTTTTGTCAAAATTTTCAATTCATTCTTGAAATTATAGTATAGCTTAATAACAATATTATATGAAGCATATTAAAAAAATATATATATATTCATGACTATAACAAATTTTGTATAATTAATCCAACCCTGACCAGTATTAATTTTCAGTTAAAATTTACTATACAAATACTGCACAATTTAGAAACTTTTTTATATGATAAACAAGAAAAACCATAAGCAACAGTTTATAAGTATGCATACTACTTACAAATTGTTAATTTTTTCTGTACGGCATCCGCACATCTGTTCAAAAGCAAATGTGCACTATATTTGTTTCTGTATACTGCGCACAGTCCGTATAGCAACAAATAATTACTGCTCTTGACTATTCACTAATTTAATATAATTGAATATTCGTCTTTAATTGAATATTCATTTTTATACATAGATATTTACAATCCACCTTATTCATTAATAATTTGACTGACTAGTTTATTTTTTAATTTGTATTATTACCTGAAAAAACAGAGCAGTCATTCAAGCCTTTAGATTGTTATGATAATAAAACCCAAGTTGTTTACCAGTTTTTTTTTTAAAACACTTAGGTTTTTTGGCATAACCAATAATGAATGGTTGAAGCTTGTGTGTACTATCGGTATTAGATATAAGTGAAATCGTTAGTTGTATACAATCTTTTTTTGATTCTTCAATTTGACAAGATGCAATAGTATGATCAGGAGCTATACAGTACCGGACAGCTAAAGATATCTACTTTTTATATATAAAAATATAAAAAGGCTTATAACTCAACAACAAATAACTTTAAAAA